TTGAACTCTCCCACTTGGTCAAGGACATCTCTAGGGTTTGCCAGAGGCTATAATCCTATTAGCTAGCCTTTCATTATGTCCAATATGTCTAATCTTATGTCCAATCTCCCAATTCTCTGTTGCCCATAATTTAGCCCTGTCCTCTATTGTCTGTTACCTCTGAATGGCCCTGGTCACATCCCACCCTTGATCCTATCTAGTCCCCATTATCTTTGACCTCCCAGTCACTCCCTTCAAGAGACTCCTTAAACCCCTCCTCCAGTCACCCCAGATTACTTGGCCACTCCTAGATATCCCTCCCACAGTCTTTCTGTATATAAGGTCCATCTTGTCTCCATTTAGGTGCTCAGATTCTTAAAATCTAGCCATTGCTTAGATGCTTAAGATCTGTCCCACTTGCATCAGTGATACAAATGTTTAGATTCCTTAAGAGTCTGCCCAATATGACAGATGTTCTAATAAACCTTGTTTCTGGATGAAAGAAGACTTGGGTTGAATTCATTTGGACAGGACTCATGGTTTGTGATTTTGGGGTCCCAGCACCCATAAACCTCTAAACCTCAACAGTGCCCCCACAATCCAGGAAATCTACCTAAAATGCTTTGGCCTTCCCTTCATACCAGAGAAGAATTCTGAATTATCACCGTATAAAAGATAAAATATATTGATATTATACAATACTATACATATATTTTATACATTTCTGAGTTTCTAAACTTTTTCCATGTCATCTGTTGGCCTTGTGCTTGTGACTTTTGCAACTCTGGGGATACAAATTCAAGTAAGCAAGCCACTCCTTGTCCTCAGTGAGCTTACATTCAAGTGGAGGAAGACAGCACAGAAAGGGGAACTGGAAAAGGAGTGGAGGAATTCAAGGTTCCAGTAAGGAAGGAGGAGATGATATCGGCTCTAGTACAGGTAGTATAGTGAACAGATGGTGAAGAGTAGGGTGAAAACCTAGTTCTGGGCAAGATAAGGCAACAATTCACTTTTTCTTAATATGATAAATAACAATATCTAATAGAAAGGCAGTACTGGTGTAGTGGATAAAGAGCTGGCCTCAAGGCCAGTAAGACCTGAGTTCATGTCTCACCCTGGACTCATCCTGACGACATCAACCTGGGCAAACCCCTCAGTCTTCTAGATAAAAGATGTTAAACAACATACTGTGACCTGCAACAGTCCAGGTGCTGCCCAAATCAGATTAAAATATAATTGGGAAATATCTAACAAAAGAAGTAAAAGTGCAATAGGGCACAGATAAAGTCAATATGTGGTTTTCTAAGTACAGTTTTGTGGCTTCCATTTTTATTTGTGTTTGACACCACTGCACTAGACAACTCTTTCAAAAGTAAAAAATTGCAAAGAAGGGACCACCTGTATCTTGGTAAAGGGTTTTTATCACTCAGGAGTTCCCTATATAAATAAAATCAATCCCTAAGCCTATCCTTCCCAGCAAAAGAAAGTTTTAGATATAATAGAGAAATGCTAAAGACCTTTCCATTAAGAAAAATTAAAGCAAAGATGTCCATTCTCACCACAATTAATTTATATAATTCTAGAAATGCTAGCTATAGCATTAGACAAGAAAAAGAAATTGAGAGATGGGTTAAGAAGAAACAAAATTATTACTTTTTTCATATGATATGATAGTACACAAAGAGAACTCTAGAGATTCAACTAAAATTCATTGAAACAGTTAACCTCAGCAAAGTAGCAGGATATAAAATAAACCTACAAAAGCAATAAACCTTTCCGTGTATTACCAATAAAACCCAAAAGGAAGAGATAGAATGAGAAATTTCATTCACGATAACTGTAAAATGTAGGAAATGTGTGTGGGTCCACTATGATACACATAGGAATTACATAAATACAGCTACAAAAAAGTACTTTATGAAAATGAAGACAGGCCTACATAATTGGAGATATTCATTGCTCTTGGTTTGGTTGTGCCAATATAATAAGTAAGACAATACTATATAATAATACTATATAATAACATAATACTACATAATAATATAATAATATAAGACAATACTATCTGAATGAATTTACTTATTTTAGTACCGTATCAATCAAACTGTCAAGGAGTTATTTTATAGAGCTTGAAAAAATAATAACAAAATTAATCTGGAGGAACAAAAGATCAAGAATCTCAAAGGAAATGAGGAAACAAGAGGGGTGGGGTTAACAGGACCATTTCTGAAGTAGTAATTATTAGAACTGTTTTGGTTTCTTAAAAAATGGAAAAGTAATCAGTGGGCTAAATTAGGAATGTAAGATCCAGAAACAAATGAATGTAGTAGCATAATGCTTGATGAACACAAAGAACACAACTATTCAAATAAGTACTAAGTGTTTGGCAAAAACTGCTGAGAAAATTGGAAAATAGTTTGGCATAAATTAAGTTTAGACTAACAACTCACAATCAGCTCCAATGGTACAAATAACACATATATGTGTATATAAAATTGTTTAGGTTGTCACATACTAACACACTATATAATCTGCAGAAAAGATGGTAATACATCTTTAATTTCATTTCTAATGATAAAATCATATCTGTTTCTGATGTTGAACCATTTAACAGTGCCAAGAGCTTTCTTTTCTGGGTGTTTCCATCATTTTGGCTGCTGATGAGGCAGAATATCAGCAGAAGCCTTTGCCAGGTCACATCTCCATAGGATTACTATTCCCCAGGATGACAGCTAAAGAGGCTATGATGGAGGCAGGTCCAGTGGTTTATAGGGTATTGTCATTCCTAGAGCTCTTGGACTTAGACACTCATCAGTGGAAGTTGATTGGCAGTAGGTTTTGGTGACCACAAGGAAGATGGGAACTGCTCCACAATGATTGATCCCCTCACTGATGGCTACAGAACCTGGGCTGGAAGGAGGATGGATAGTTTGAGGGGTATTACTATTTCTGGGTCCTGAGTTATCTCCATGGAGATATGAGGGGAGGCAATAGTAGAAGAGATAGTCATGGTTTGATGAGTCTGGCACTTGCTTGTGTTGTGGTTTGTCCTTCATTTGAAGAAGACTATGACATCAGGAAGATGATGCCATGACTTGAAAATGAATTGATTTTAAGTGAGAGAGGACTGTGCAAAGTCACCAGCCTCACTTTCTCCTCCAGAGCCATCTGGGTCCAATGGCCAGATATAGATCAAGAAGACTAGAGATGCCCCAGGATGCAGTGGGAGACTTTGGCCTTTTAAAGTTAAGATCTTTCCAAGTTCTCATTTTGACTGAGGCAACACCCATTCAGTGATTAGGTCTGTGGAAGAAGTGAGTCAAAGAATGACCCCTTTAATAAAAAAAAAAAAATCAAACTGGCAGGGGAAGACCCTCAGGGTTTCTGACCAAAAGAGAAATAATTACTATTTACATTCACTCAGAGCCATCAAGGCCCAAAACATAACCATTAACTTGGGCAGGGACCTATTGTCCAATCAATGATAGCCAAAGTGAATTGCATTTAAGGCAAGGTCTTTAAGAAAGATATGTAGCCAGCTACCTCCCATATCTCTTTTAAGATACCTCACTTTTTCAACTAAACTGGCTTATCTTCTCCTGAGGCAGAAGTTTGTAGGCAGTTGGTAGGGTTGATTGACCCCTTTTCCATAGAATTTACTTTCTTAGATAATGATTAAGGGGATAGAGTTCTCAGTGGCCAGTGGTCTGGGGTGCTGTTGCTATTCCCATAGCTCTTTGATCTAGTTGCCCATTGGTATCAATTGATTAGAATTTGGCTTTGATGGTGGTAAGGAAGGTAGGTCCATGTTCTATAACGATTAATTCCTTCCATGTTGTCTGTAGGCTATAAGTAGAGTCAGTAGTCTGGAGGGCCTTGTTATTCCCAAGGTTCTTCTATTTAAAGCCATAGGATATTTTTACTAGGGTCTAAGAGAAGGTAGTGGTTACAATAATGATAGTAGCTTGACTTGTCTGATTTGCCTTCCACATAGTGTGCAGCTGATTGTTTTTACCATATCATTCCAATAAATGCCTTTGCTTTGAGTTAATTGTGTCTACTGGCTGACAATTAAAAGTAAATGCACTAATGGGGTATCACAAGCCATAGTTTTTGGCTGTGTGGAACCACAGAGTTCTTTGAACCCAATGTAATTGCTCCCCTGGTAACCAAATGTTTGATTGGGAACTAGAAGTCAGCCCCAGAGGAGATGCTATACTTAAATTGAAACTATAATGACTAGAGACTCATTGAGCAGTTGTTCTCTGTCCCAGCTGAGGGCAGGATGCCAACAACTTAATTCGCAGCATGAAAAATTCAGGTTAGACACTAGGGAAGTATTCTCGTGGGGCAGGATTAGTATAGGCAAGGCAGTGCTAATCCAGCCGAAAAGAGCCCTAAATTTGAAATCAGGAGACCTAGGTTCTAATCTCTGTTCAGTTAGTATTCCATTTCATGCCATTTCATTCCACAAACATTTATTAAGTGCCTACTGAATGCAAGTAACTGTGTAGAAGGCAGTTACAAAGATGAAAACCAAAACAATTCTTGCCTTCAAGAATTTTACATTCTATTAAAATGTCCTCTCTGTTTCTTATCTACTATTAAAATTTATGATTAAAGTAAAAAAAAAAAGTCCTCTCTGTGTGACCTTGGCAAAAATATTTTCTGTCTCTGGTCTTCATTTTCTTTGTCCATAAAACAAAAGTATCAGACTAAATGATCTCTAAGATTCCTTTCGGTTCTTGAGTCCTATGAGCCTATAAAACTGCCTCTTGGGTATCCCACCTCACCATAGGAGGGACCCACCATGTGTCTGAGCTGACCATGAAGAAACCCTGGCCAGAGACATACAGTGACTCTGATCATAGGGACTCAAGCAGCTGTTGTTTTTTTTTCCCCCTCTAGTCTCCTGCACTAGGGCAAAGGATGTGGCAGGGGTGGGGAAGGTGGGGTCTGTGAGAGCATATGTGTATGACTTCTATCATTTCCGTTTCCCCTTCTCAGTGGCACTGGTGACAGCTGCTGAATGAGGACAGACACACAAGCACTACACATACCATGACCTTCAGCTGCTGTCTTGAACTTGGCACCTACCCTGGGGAAGGTGTGGGACCCTCCTCCCCAGATCCCCTTCTCTCTGATCAAGTTCCTTCCCAGAGCACAGGTGAGTGCAGTCTTTTTGAAACACTATTTGTGTCTCTACCTATGTTGAGCTGAGTAAAGTCGATTCTGGAGAGAGAAAGGAACTGAGTTTTAAGATATTCTTGAGGAAAGGGGAGGATAAAGATAAAGAACCCTACCCCATGCTTTACCCCTTAAATCATATAGGCAGCTAGGTGGCTCAATAGGTAGAGCCCTGGGCCTAAAGTCACAAAGACCTAAATTCAAATCTGAACTCAGATGCTTACTAGCTGTGTGACCGTGGGCAAGTCACTTTAATCTCTGTTCCCTCGACTATAAATTGGGTATAATAATAGTTTGCACCTGCCTTCAAGGGTTATTGTGAGGACATAAGATAATACCTGTAAAGTGTTTTACAAAGCTTAAAGCACTATGGAAATGATAGCTATTACTATTACCATGATACCTAGAACTGATAGGAATCTTGAGATGCCATTTTATTCATTCCCCTTTCTCTGAGAAGGACTATCACCAATAGAAAATGATTTCTCTGACTCTTCAAGATTTTCAAGGAAGGAAGAAGTAAAGAAGGAATAAGCATTTACATGGCACCTACTATGTGCCAGGTACTGTGCTAAGTGGTTTTTTGTTTGTTTGTTTGTTTGTTTTTAACAAATATTATCTCATTTGACCCTCACAAAAACCCTGCAAGGTGGGTACTATTATAATCCCCATTTTACAGTTGAGGAAATTGAGGCAAACTGAAGTTAATTGACTTACCTAGGGTCAAACAGATAGTAAATGGCTGAGACTGGATTTAAACTCAGGTTTTCCTGACTGCAGGCCCAATACTCTATCTGTTGTAGCACCAGGGATCTCATGGACTCACTGGCATTTAGCACTTCTCCCAGCTGGTTGTTCCTTTGAATCTGGCCACTTATGGTCATTACCCACTATGAAATGTTTCCAAGGTGTATAGATTCCCAAATTTGTCCTCTAACCTATTGGAAAAAGTAAAATGGGCTTCCTTTTGCTTTAGAGTAATTGAAACTATTCATTCGGAAGTGATTTCAGAGAGATGCTGAGAATAAGAAGTCCCATTCCAACCGTCACTATAAGGTGTATGAAATGTTTTGCTTGCAAAGACTCTGGGAGTTCAATAGGGTATGCACTGTTGTCTACATTTCTATATTTCACAGGTGAGGGAACTGGGCCTTGGAGAGGCAAAGTGATTTGGCATGGTCACACAGCTAGTGAGTATCAGATCTGAGAATGTTGGGAAAGAAGGTTAAGACACAACAAGAGATATTGGAGTTTTATATTAGGGAGGATGTAGACAAGATTGAAATGTAGAATGGGCTACAGTGAGGTCTAAGAAGACCCGCACCTGGTTGGAGTAGGTTGTGAGCATGTTAGCTTAGAGGTGAGGGTCAGGAGGAGAGATTGGGGGAGGTGGAGAGATCTGCCCACTGGAGTTTCCCAAAGCCCCAGCTGTGACCCTGGGGAGTGGAGGAAAATGAAACCCCTAGGAGTGAATAAAAGGAAGATAAGAGACCAGGGAGATCCCTAGGGGGTGGCTTGAAGAGTTTGTGGGCACAGAGGGGAGACCCCAGGAAGCCCCACTGCCTCTGCCTAACAGATGTGGCTCCCCACAGTAGAGAGAAGGGGTTGCCCCCTTTGGCCAGAGAAGGTGCCCCTTTACAAAAGAGTGCCTGAGATGGAAGTCTGCTGTCTTCTGTCCTGACAGCACTGCTTTGTGCCCTTATGCCAGGCTACGTGAGGATCTTCAGCGGTCAAGAAGGGTTATTCGAGCAGAGGAAAGAACGTGTAGTTGTCATCTATAACTACTGGTACATGTTGAGACTGTAGCAACAGTGATAGAGGTAAGGCATGAGCAAGGCTTTCCAATCCCCAGCGCTGTGAAGTGCCAGCAACCAAAGCTAAATCGTAAGATTTAAAATTAGAAGAGATTTTCAAGTTCATTTACTCTTCTTTCCTCCCTTCATTTTAGAGATGAGGATTCTCCTTCTCCAAAGGTGGTAAACTATAGGCTATATCCTTGCCTAAAGCCTTGCCAGGCAGTTGTATCTACTTCTTAGAGCACCTTCAAGGTCAGTCGAATTGACCTCTAACCTGTATGGGGAAAATGGAGAGGAAGATGAGCCCTCTCAGGGGGAGGAGGACCTGCTTCTATTTGGGCACCTGACATTTGCCCTGCTTTCCATTCAGGAAACAGGGGCCCCACGGTGAGATTTCCAGCCCTCCACTTCTCTACTTTGCACCAGTCCACATAGAACAAAATGGCCCTGGAGACACCGGGGGCTTTCATTCAGCAAGACTGAACCAAGGAGAGGAAAGAGCTAAGGATAATTAGAAAGAAAAGGAAAGGGAAAGGGGAAAAGGAGAATAAAAAGAGAAAGAAATGAAAATGGAGAGAAGTTTAAAATGGCCACCATTTCAATAAGTGCAGGACACAGCTTGGTTTAGTGTGTGAAGGGGTTAGATATTTGGGTTGGGGAAGAGGGAACTGGGAGTTTGTTCCTTAGTCCCTGGGTAGATAAGCAGGTCTCAATTATCCTCTCAAGCCACAAAGACCTCACAGAACCCTGGAAGAACCTACTTTGAGAGCTGTCTCATCACTGCTCACTCATAATCAATCTTCAACACCTTGGTTAAATCATTTAAACTATTTGCTCAGTTTCCTAAGCTACAAAATAGGGATAATAATAGCACCTACCTTTCAGGGTTATTCATCAAATATTGAGGATCAAATAAGGTAATTTTTGCAAAGAGTTTAGCAATACCTGGCACTTAGTAAGTGATATATAAATGCTAGCTATTATCACTATTATTATTATTAATATTGTTCAATACATGCCATGGTAGATTATTAGACATTAGGAAGAATTCCTTTATTTCTAAGGCATGTGAGGGCCCTGCCATATTAGTGACCAAAGGAGACTATGAGATCTTTATTGCTACAGACTTTTAAGAACAGAGGTTGAGTGGTCAGCCTTGCCTAGCACAAAGGCCCTACCAGCCTTGACGTAGGGGAAGGAACAGTAATTTTTGGAATATACTGAATATTTTCCAGGTGTCACGGGATTATGAAGTAGATAAGGAGGAAGGAGGGTGTGGTTCAGGCCCTGGTAGCCAACCCATCATGGAAACCAGGTTTCCTGTTGTTATACTCCCACACTTTTTCACTCCTGCTCTGGTTCTCACCCCAATTTGAGAGATCTGGTGAAATGGTTATGGTGGCTGCCCCTGCCCCTATCAGAGTCCATGACAGAGAAAAGAGCCCAAGGAGCAGCAGGTAGAGCCAGGACTGTGTCAAACAGACAGACAAACACAGACACAGAGCAGGACAGATACAGAGACAGAAATAAAGATAAAGGGGCAGAGACAGAGAAACTTATAGACAGAGGAGGAGAGACAGACAGAGACAGAGACAGAAAGAAAGATACAGAGACAGAGACAGAGACAGAGAGGCAGCACTCTCCTGCCTAGAAGTCTGTGTGACCTATATACTCTGTATTATTAGTCATTGGCATCCAACCTGCCAACACCTTCCCTCCCTCCTCCACAGCTCCCCTCACCAGCACCCTGCTATCTAATTTCCTCCCACTCCACACTCTAGCAGGGCCTTAACTTCTTTCTTTTCTTCCTTTCCATCTCACAGGAAATAGGAGAGACTTAACTCTCTATCCAATGATAACATTTTAATTGCTCTTGGCTCTTGGCCAGCCAGTCTGGGGTGGGGAGGGATGTCCACCCTCAAGCTTGCTGACCTATCATCCTCTTTGTATATTATTTGTGGCCAGCCCTTAATCCCAGGCTGAGTTCTTTCCTGCCATCCACCATGCACCTGGGCACCCTTCCCCCCAAATCACTCACTGTATGCCTGGCACAGTATTTTGTACATAGTAAGTAATTAACATACGTTTGTTGAAGTGGATTGTAAGCTCAGGGAAAGCAACCTCATTTCAACGTTCAACAATGACAAAAATTTATCAAGTGTTTATGTGAGGCTGGGCCCAGAGTTTTTAAATTTATGTGTGTGTCATGAGCCCTTTTAACAGTCTTGTGAAGCCTCTGGACCCTTTCTCAGAATCACATTTTTAAATGCATCAGATAAAATGCTGAAGATTACAAACAAAGCCAATACACAGAAAAAAAAATAGCTTATCAAAATATTTAAACGAACCAAAAAATGGATCCTAAATTAAGAATCCCTAGTCTAGACACAATCTATTTAAGTTGAAAGAAGCCTTACAGAACAACCAATCTATTTTTATAGATAAGGAAACTGAGGCCCAGGAGAGTGAAGTGATTTTGCCATACATTCATTTAGTAAATAAAAGAACTAGAATCTTTAGATACTAAGATCAATAGTACACTAAGGCTGCCTTTGGCTTCAACTAAAGCAAAATGCAAATGAAACAAAGATCCATTTAATTATACTATTAATAAAAAGAATGGCTTTTATATTTCCCTCTAATCTGAATTATCTCTGCAGCTCCTTCTCTTTCATTAGTGTGGGAGCTGAGACTGAAATAAACCGTTTCTCCTTTCCCCTCAACCCAGATTTTGTTTCTCTTTGATGGAGAGCTGAAATTAGTTCTTCCCTGATTTTGTATTGACTTAAAAATATATGTTTAAGGGGCAGCTAGGTGGTGCAGTGGATAGAGCACCAGCCCTGGGTTCAGCAGGACTTGAGCTCGAAACTGGCCTCAGACACATAACACTTACTAGCTGTGTGACCCTGGGCAAGTCACTTAACCCTCATTGCCCAACCCCTCCCCCACAAATGTTTGGTTTTTTTAAGTTTGCTATTGATGTGTTTTTATACTGTCCTCTATCTGCCTCTCCATGTCAGTGCATCTGTCTTAGACAGGAAGTTCCCAGAAGGCACTGGGTGCAGCACCTAAATTAGCAGCACCCTGCATGAAAGCTCAATTTGGAATATTCTTAGTTCTGGGCACCACCATTCAGGAAGGTTGATGACTTCGATGAAGGTTGTTGAAGCACATACAGAAAAATGAGATCATCCTGTGGGGAGGTCTCATTCTGTGAGACCTGTGAAAGACCAAAAAAAAAAAAAAAGAATGGTCAAATGAAAAAAGATGAGAGAAGAATTAGGGGCACATGAAAGTGGTCTTCAAGTATTTGAAGGGATGCCTTATGGAAGAGGAATTAGATTCACCTCCTCTTCATCCCAAAACGTAGGGGACAAAAGTTCTAGAAAGGTGGGTTGGAACTGAACACAAGGGAAACTTTGCTATAAATTTGAAATATTACAAAGTGAAATGGGCTGCTTTGAGAAGTATTGAGCTACCCATGGCTACAGTCTTCTAGTGGAAACTGAGATAATGACTTGGGATGGTTGTTCAGGGATTCTTGCTCAAGTAAGGTCTGGACTGTTCGAATGCTCTCTGAAGGTGTGGATTAAGAGAGGAAATACTTGGAATTGGAGACTTGATTTCAGCCTCAGCTCACTGTGTAAATAAACATTAATTATATACATATTATGTGCCAGGAACAGTGCCAAGTGCTAGGGATACAATGTAAGGCAAAAGACTGCACAGCTCTACCTTACTTAAATCCAATTCACATGCAAGTGAAGACATCATTCTAGCCATGTCACTGGTCCCCTTCAAGAATGAAGGATGAACAAGGCAAAATGCTTTAGGAGCATTCAAGGAGTTTACGGTCTGATGGGGAGATAACATGCAAACAATTATGTACAAACAAGTCACATACAGAATAAACTAGAGATGGTGAGAGAAAGAAGACATGAGAATCAAGGGGAACAAGGAAAGGCTTCCGGTAGAGCATAAAGTTTTAGCTGAGACCTGAAGGGAGCTGGAGAATCCAAGAGACCGCGAGTAGGACTGGGAACACTCCAGGCAAGAGGGGAAGTCTTTGAAAATACCAGGAGCTGAGAAATGGTGTGTCTTGTTTGAGGAACAGTAAGAAGACCAGTATTGCTGGATAGCTGAGTACCTGGGGTTGAGATGGAGGTTGTAACATGTAAGAAGATTGAAAAGTATGGGAGAGGTGGCAAGATATGAAAGCCTTTGAACAACAAAGAGAGGGTTTTATAACTGTTCCTGGACGTAGTAGGGAGCCATTGGAATTTATTGTCTAGGGGGAAGGGGAAATGATCATGTTAGACCTATGCTATTTGTTTCTAATGGTAGCCATCTCTTGGGCAGGGGGAGGATGGGAAGAAAAAAAAGAAATTTATACTATAACTTATATAGGAATAGCAAGTTGTATGTAATACATTTATAATTTGATGTGTAATCACCTTTTAAATTATACTATGTTACAGAAATGCTTGTTTTATTCCATAAATTATATTTCAGATGATTAATTATTTATTTTTTGGAAAGTTTTTTAAAAATTAAAATTAAAAAAAAAAACTTTGACAGCTGAATGGAGGAAAGACTGAAATGAGGAGAAACTTTTGGCAGGCAAAACCAGCCAGCAGGCTTGGGCATAGAGATAGTCTACTCAGAATACAATGCTTGTATTGCTATGCCCTTTACTTTGTTTTATGACATGAAGGGTGGAAAGGAGAATGTTCTTCACTGTAAGATAAACAGGTCATGCTGAGAAAATCTAGGAGGAATCAGGTTTTCTGTAGCCTATGCAGAGATGTTCCAAGACCATTCATTTTGATATCTACTTGCATGTTTTTACCAAACAGCACAATAATATATTATTGTTATAAATTGCAAGAAGTATTCCACCAGGGATTGGTGGTGTTTGGTCCCAGGCTGCCTAACATTTTTATCAGTAGCTTAGGTAAAAGAATAATTACATTGGCATGCTTAGAAAATTTGTAAAAAAAAAACACAACTATCAATTGCATGGA